GAACTTGATGAAAGGGTAGAGCATGTGTTAACCACGCTTGCACTTGCAAACACAATGGAAGCATCAGCGGGAGAGCCCCGGAAGGGAGGCGGCGTGGGGCGCGCGGAGAGGCGAGGAGCGGAGCCGTGGGGCGGACGGGGGGCAGGCGGCATGGACCCACGCATGGGGGCTGCCTGCGTCTCGCTCCTACCGAGAGCTGCCCTTTCCTCTCCAGCCAAAAGCTTTCCCAGCACCGAGGCGTGGCCGGCAGCGCTGAATGAGCTCAGTGGGAAGGGGGCTCACCCCATCCCCGCCGGGGCCGTGGACCGGGACCAGGCACCCATGCCGGGGGTGGAGGAGCCGTTTGGCACAGCCCCGGTAGCGCGCTCGGTCCAGCCTGTAAGGAGCCGGAGGGGCAGAGTCCCAGTGTGTGTCCCAGCAATAAGGGGGGAAAATGAGGATGGTGAACGGCACTGTAGCAAGAGACCATGAGTTTAATTAACAAAATTTCTGTATGGGTCACTATATTTTTAAAAGTCTTTCTATGCTGTACATTTCTCCTGAAGCTGAAATAATGTACTGTTGGTAGGGTTTTTGTATAGTGTACAGAAATTGGCAGAATATTTTCTTGCTGCATTCAGTGATTTATTAACCGAAGTAAAATAGACAAATATAAAGTGTTAGCAAAAGTTGAAAGAAAAAAAAAAAACCACAAAACAGTTTGTGCCTTTTTTAGTTTATTTTTCTGTTGCTATATAATCACTGCACTAAAACCTTTCCAGAGGGGAAAAAAACCAAAACTAGTCTCTTAATAAGGGAGGAATACATGAAGCCTAAATTGAGTGTTAATTTTTTTATTGGGATATTTAATTAAAAGAATGTTGCTGGTTTTATTTGAGACCTGTGCCTTTGTAATAAAACTCCACATCCTGTCAGAAAAGCCAAACCTGGAATAAATCCCACCAGATCCCACAGACACAGAAGTACCATCAGGTTACCAGTATTTTCTTTAAAAATGTTAAACCTTAACTGACGATACTACAATATTGGATTGTAATACCTGTTGAGTTGCCTGGGAAAGAAGTGCTTTGGAAAGGTGCAGCTTTTGGGGTGCTGTCTGCATTCCTCCTGGGGCGCCCTGGCTGCCGGAGATGCACCGAAAAGGATTGAGGCATTGCCACTTGGCTGGTAGCTGCTGAGCAAATTTCTTCCCTTAGCGCTTCTGCCAGTTGCTTTGTGACTGGGCTCTTTGGAAAAAATCCAGCTGGTTGCTTCCAGCTCTCCAGCCAGGACAGCTCGTTTCTGAAGGAACCCTTTCCTCGGAAGATGGAGAGGGCTGGCGGGTGAAACACCACTGATCCCAGCCCCAGTTTTTATTGGGAAGCCCACTTGGCTGAAGGAAAGGGCTGGCTGCCAAATAGGCTGGGCTTTGCTTTCCTCGGAAGATGGAGAGGGCTGGCGGGTGAAACACCACTGATCCCAGCCCCAGTTTTTATTGGGAAGCCCACTTGGCTGCCAGAGCTGCATCTCTGGTAGCAGCGGCAGACCAGGGGTCAGGACCTCTGGCGTTGCTGCTGCTTTCCCACCCGGAGCTGCTCTGAATAGGATTAGACAAGGTTGGGCTTAAAAGCACCAAGTGATACTGTCATTTCATCTGCATTCATGGGAAGTGTCCCTAAATGTGATAGCTCGGGTAAGCTCTGGAGCCAGAAAGCCTCTTCCTGCTGCTCTGCGTGGCCGCTGGGCTCCGGGCCATGCCAGGCTCAGCCACTGCCCTCCCCAGGGTCCAGCCTGCCTTGCCCGCACTGCCTGAGCCGGCGTGCTGGTGGAGCACGGTGCAGTTCACGGGGTGATGTGCTGAGGCTGAACGGCCTTTGGTGGATCCATCCATCCGCGGTGCCTCTTCCAGGGTGCTCTGGTTGAAACAGCATTGCATGGAAAAGTAAGACCCCACAGCTCATCGCTTGTGCCCTGCCAGTACTGGTTTTGCAGCCTCCCTTGGGGAGCTTCTTGCTTCTCCTGCACCAGGTAGCTGTGGTCAACTCAGCCCTGCATTGGGACCATCACCATCCCCTTTCTCTGGGCTTGAGCGTCACCTCCTGACTGCTCCCATCCCAGTTCGGCACCTGAGTGGTGCAGAGCAGCAGCAGATGGTTGTGGGTTTGGTCCTGAGCAGAAGAACTTGTGGTCTGGACCTACTGCCAGAAATCCATTGAGAGCCTATGGCCAGTCAGGTCTAATTCCAACGGAGACTCCCATCAGTGTGAGATGGCAGGGGATGCTCCTAATTTATTTTGGTGGTGTCTCCCTCCAAGGGCACTTCTAGCTGGAGTGTGGGGAAGAGTGGAGCATCTCTTGGGTCTTAGCCTCAGTTAGTAAACGTGATGGCTAGGAAGACTGCTTCAGATTTAGGTGGAAGATGTGTTGGAGATGTGAAGGAACTTCCCCTAGCTGTGCCAGGTGCTGCCTCCTACTTTGCTGTGCATGTGGGTTGTTACAGCCCGCTGCCCTCACGCTGCGTGCTGTGCGGTGGCACTGAGGATGCATTTTCCTCGCTTGGCAGCTCTCTCAGCAGCATAGCTTTTCTGCTGATCCCTGTGCAGTAGGCACTGCTCAAGTGTCCTCTGCTCAGAGGGGACTGGGGCCAGAGCTCTTGCTCACTGGGGAAGGCACCTTACAGGGTCAGGGTGTGATGTCCATGTAAAGGTCTGTCTTGAAAAGATGAAAAAATAAAAAAGGGGGGGGGGGGGGAAATTTGCGTTTCTGTGGCTGAGGTCCACAGCCTCGGGGCTGCCCCAGCCCTCTGGCATAGCCTGGGCAATTCCCTGTGGAGTGAGTGGGAATGCCCTGCGCATCCTGAGCAAACTGGCTTCTCAAGCACACGTAGTATTTGGCAATAACCTCTGTGAGAAGTTTGGTCCCTGAATGGTCCCAGGCCAATAATGCTGAGCAATCAAAGCAACAAGGAAAGTGGTTTCTAATCTTACTTAAACCCTTGAACTGGTATTTGTCGTAAAATCATGATGTGTTTTCCCTCCGTGAAGCAGACAGCACCTGCAAGATGCTTAGAAACAGCAGCCATCATTCGTCTCTGCTGGGAGATGCCCTTTGCAGTGCTTCTTGCCGCAGCAAAGTTTGGGGCATTGCCATCAGCTGAAAGCCGTTCTTCTCCCCTACCTCGCTGTTACCGTGCGGTATGTGGGACGGTATTGCTGAGCAGGCCTTCGCCTCTTGCTGAGCGTGCTGCAGGCTGTACCCATGCACAAGACGGAACGTCAGGAGCTGGGCTCTCCCCTGCGCGGTCCATCCGCTCCCGCCTCTGCGGCGCATACGGCTCCGGGAGCAGCCGGGGAGGTCAGGGCTGCTGTGGGGCACTGCCTGCTTGGGGAGGAGATGCACGGCCACGGGCTACCTTGGCTGCGGAGCTTTCCAGGCTGGCCATCATGGAAGGAGATAGTTGGCAGTGTAGCCAACCCTGTGGGGGAGAAGC